ATTGTCCTGATATCAGCACGACAGCAGGGGCTCTGAGTGTGCTGTTAGATTAAAGTTATATGCTTTACTGTCCATAAAGCTTTTCATTTGTGGGGATAATTCACAGTCAAAGGACAGTTTTGTAGAATGAGACTTTAGTTTCTTAAACTATTAAATTAAGGCTTTGGTTTGAGTACATGATAATGGAACTACTCATATAATGCTAGCTCATGAAAAAAATTTTAAAAAGTGAGTTTTTTGTCTAAATGATGCATCTGTATCATCTGAAGACCAAACGATGTAAGAGAAAATTGGTGGAATAATCCAGTGCTCAGATGGTAGTAAAGGCATGTAGGATTTGCGGAAATGCCCTGAAGCTGTTAGCCTCTTAGTAATATTTCAAGTGGCAATTTAGTTTCGGCAAAACATCATCTATCGTATCAAGAAAGTGCTATTAATTTGAATTCTATTGTTTCAATGGTGTTGTGGTTTGGCTTACACATCATTTGTAGTTTAGTTTTGGTTTCACAACACATATAAATCTAAATCACTAAAAATAAGTGGATTATGATCTATGGTATAAATATACCATGATTTATTTAACCATATGACTATTAATGGACATTGGGTTATTTCCAATCTTTAGAAATTAAAACAGTGCCACAGTGAACACCTTTGAACATATAACTTTGTGTCTTTGTCAAATACATTTGAAGAATAAGTTTTCTGAGGCTTAATTGCTGAATTTAAAGGCAAATTCCTATAAAATATCAATAGATATTGTCAGTTGCATTAATTTACACTGCTGTCAAAATTGCATGAAAGTTCCTGTTTAATTACACCTTTACTAACATTTGGTATTGTCAAACACTTCAATTTTGCTAATCTGTTAGGTAAAAAAACTCATTGTTATTTTATTATATGATACTTTAATTATACTTGAGAATGAGTGTAATTTTATATAGTATTGATCATTTTCACTTTTTTTCTGTGAAGGGATTATTTATTTTCTTTGCTATTTTTCTTTTATTGAGCTGTTTAACTTTCTTTTACTGCCTTGTAAAATCTTTGAATATTATGAAAAATTGGCTCCTTGATTTTGCTTTGGAAATAAATCTTTTTCCACTTTTCCAACTGACTTTCTTTATGGATTTTTGTATCACACAAGTATTTTATAACTTAATCTAGGCAAATCAATCAGTATTTTTCCTTATGACTTCTGATTTTTGTGTTATATTTAAATGGCCTCTATTATTAAAAGATTATGCTTTCTAAAAATCACCAATTCTTTTTCTTCTAAGATTTTCATAGGTTTCCTTACATATGTGGTTTCATTTACATCTTGATACATCTGGAATCTATTTTGATGTAAGGAGTGAAGTAGGGATCCTCACTGTTTTCTGCAAATGGTTTCTCAGCACCATTTATGGAAAAATCTTCCATCCATTTAAAATGTCTTTTAAAATTTATTGGCATATAGTTGTTCATAATAGTCTTTCATTTAACAAAAGTTTTATCTGTAGTTATTTTCCTATTACTCTGTATTTTGTTTATTTGCATTGTCTCTCCTTTTAAAAAAAACACTCTTTTCAAACAAAAGTGGTGACTTTTATTTTTTTCCTTAAATAATGCATCATAAGAGAAAAACATTGCTCTGCATAATTTCAAAAAAGGCAATGAGTTTGGTTTGTGTTACTTGAGAACTAACAAAATCTTCAGAACACCTTTGTCATGCATTTTACTAGATAAGCTTGGGTCCCTAGTGTTTTCATTATTTTATGTGTTTCTTCTACTATTCATTTATTCAATTGTGCTAAAATACATATGTCAGAAACTGCACCATTAATATGTACAATTCAGTGATATTTAGTACATTCATGCTCTTATGAAACTGTCACCAGTATCTAGTTATAGAACATTTCGTCACCCTGAAAGGAAACTCCGTACCATTAACTGCACCGTATCATCCCTCTCTCCAGCTGCTATCTGCCAGTAATCTGCTTTCTATCTCTGTGTACTTCTATGTTGTCTGTATATTTGTTCATTTTAGATATTTCATATAAGTGGAATTGTACAATATGTGGCCTTTTTGTTTCGTTTCTTCCACTCAGCATGTTTTCAGAGTTCTTCCATGTTGTAACATGTATCAGTACTTCATTTCTTTTTATGGTTGAATAGTGTTTGTTGTATGGATACACTACATTTTGTTTATTCATTCCTCAGTTGAAGGGCATTGGGGCTGTCTCCATCTTTAGGCTACTGTGAATAGTGCTGTTGTGAACATTCATGTGCAAGCATTTGTTTGAACACTTATTTTCAGTTCTCTTGGGTATATACCTAGGAGTGGAATTGCTGAGTCAGATGGTAATTTTATATTTATTGAGGAACTCCTAAGCTGTTTCTTACAAGTGGCTGCACCATTTTACATTCCCAACAGCAGTGTGTGGGAGGTCCAGTTTCTCTACATCCTTACCAATACTTATACATTTCTTTTTTTCTTTCTTTCCCTTTCTTTCTTTCTCTTTCTTTCTTTCTCTCTCTCTTTCTCTCCTTCCTTCCTTCCTCCCTCCCATCCTTCCTTCCTTCCTTCCTTTCTTCTCTCTCTCTCTCCCTCTTTCTTTCCCTCTTTCTTCTCTCTATCTCCCTCCCTTTCTCCCTCCTTCCCTTTCTTCCTTTTTTAAAAAAATTATAGCTATCCTAATGGGTGTTGTCATATCTCATTGTGGTTTTAATTTGTATTTCCCAAATGCCTAATGATGTTGAGCATCTTTTCACATTCTTGTTAGCCATTTGTTTATCTTCTTTGCAGACATGGCTTCTCAAGTTCTATGTCCATTATTAAATTGGGCTGTCTATCTTTTTTTTCTTAAGTTTCATGAGTTCTTCATATATTCTGGATACTAGACTCTCATCAGATATATGATTTGGAAATATCCTGTTCTGCGGGATATCATTTCATTTTCCCAGGAGGAGTTAATTAAAACAACACAGAACCCTTCTACTTGGTTTCAGTTGTCTTTTTCTTGATTAAACATTCAGTTGGTTGCTGTAAACTTTGGACTGTTTTCCAGGGTCCCGGTAAAGTTTGTTCTGACAGTATGCGTCATATTTTTGTATTTCTTTGGATGGATAGTCTCTTGGAGTTATCTGATTCACTATTTTCACTCTTAAAAATAATTTTTGAGAGAGTTTTAGCTATCTCAGTAACCTTTACAAAGAACCAATTTTGGGTTTTGTTAATCTCATTCTATTTATATTTTGTTGTCTATTTCATTGATGTCTTCTTTTGCCTTTATTATTTTCTTGTTTGTGCCTTTGGATTTTCTCTGCTACTTCACAGCCTTGTCCCCAGCAGTTTCAACCAAATGATTAACTTCATTATTTTTCTCTTCTCTCTCCCTCTCTCTCTCTTTCAGTGAGGTATTACTTACCTACGATAATGTGCAGCAATCTTAAGTATAACTCAACAAATTGTTACATATGTGTACACCTGTGTAACCATTATACAGATCAGAATGTAGAACACTGACAGCACATCAAAAGGCTCCCAGTCAACTCCAAGTCAACACTCCCTCAAAGGAAACCATTATTTGGAAGTCTAAAAATACAAATTAGTTTTGCCTGTTCATGAGATTGAAATAAATGGAATCACAGAGTATATACTTGTTTGTGTGTCTGACTTCTTTTACTAAACACCATTCTGTGAGATTTGTCTATGTGGTTGTGTGTAGTAGTAGTTCATTCTTTTAAAATTATTCAGGCCAGCCGCTGGTGTAGTGGTAAAGTTCGCGCACTTTGCTTTGATGCCCCAGGGTTCACAGTTTCGGAACCCAGGCGTGGACTGATTACTGCTCTCATGCCATGCTGTGGCAGCATCCCACATAAAATAGAGGAAGATTGGCACAGATGTTAGCTCAGTGACAATATTCTTCAAGCAAAAAGGGGAAGATTGGCACAGATGTTAGCTCAGGGCCAATCTTCCTCACCAAAAAGAAAAAAAAAAACCAAAGACGACAAGAAGATATTTAGGGGCTGGCCCAGTGGAGTAGCAGTGAAGTTCACATGCTCCACTTCAGCAGCCCGGGGTTTGCTGGTTCAGATCCCAGACGTGGACCTAGCATCACTCATCAATCCATGCTGTGGCAGCATCCCACATAAAATAGAGGAAGATTGGACCAGATGTTAGCTCAGGGCCAATCTTCCTCAGCAAAAAGAGGAGGATTTGCAGGGTATGTCAGCTTAGGGATAATTTTCCTTGAAAAAATAAATAAGTAAAATAAGATAATTCAGTAGTATTCCACTGCATGACTCTCCCACAATTTGTCCTTTATATTGTCCATGGGAATTTATATTGTTTCCACTTTTAGATATAATGAATAAAGCTGTTATAAAAATCCTTGTACATATCTTGTGGTAGATATAAATACCCATCTCTATATGGTGTATGTTCAAGAGTGAAACCACTGGATTATAGGAGAGAACACATATGTTTAGGTTCGTTTTCAAAGTAGCTTCCAAATGGACTGTTTGAATTGATTGTACGAATTTATGCTCCCATCAGCAATGTGAATTGCTCCACATCCTCAGTCATTTTATCCATTTTTATGAAGATTACTGGCATTTTACTGTGATTTTAATTTATGTACTCTGGTGGCTAATTATGTTGTGCACCTTTTCAGGTTCTTATTAGCTATTTGTAATTCCTACATTGTAAGTGCATGTTCTACTCTTTCGCTCGTTTTAAAAACTGGAATTTTCTGACTTTTCTTATTAATTTATAGAGTTCCTTATAGATTCTGGATATAAAGTCTGTAACTTACTATCAAGAGTTTAAAATAGCAATATGTGTATAAATAGAGACAAACAATAAAAAACATGGTTAAAATGTTAATAATTGGAAATCTAAATATTATTATATAGTATAATTATTACATAATAATATTATAATTATTAATATATATTATACATAATATATAACATAATTATTATGTAATGTAATTACCATTATATTATACATCATATTCACATTCTACAAATGATAAAATTCCTCAAGATCATATAAAGAGCATGTGATAGACTTGGCTTGCAACCTAGAACCCAGAAACAAAATACTTAATTGCAACAATACAACACTTCCCAGAAGAAGACATGTAAGAAGAACTGATAATGGGGCCCATAAACGAAGATATGAGCACTAACTACATATTATTTTCTGTCTTCCTGATAACCATTTGGGAACCTTCTGAGAGGGAATGCAGCTCAGTATTGACCCTGAGGATTTGGAATTCTCCTGAGCACTTCAGCTGCTCCAGAGACTGCTCCTAGTATCCTTCTGCTCACCTCATTTAAGTGGAACTATTGTTGTATAATATGCCCTCAAGTCAGTGCTAAGACCAGTGGATGGAGCAGGAGGACATGGGAGATGTGGGGATTCTCCTTCCTGCCTTGTCCTTGATCTTGACTTCAGAGATTGTACTGAGTCCTTTGACTGTATGACGGGGTGTCCGCAGTCTTGCAGTCTCTGCTCTGCCTATTCCAGAGCCAGTGAACCTGCAGCAGTTTCCCTTTCAACAGAGAGATGTCTTTACTGGCTTTGAGATGCTACTTTGATCTTTTTTCTCCACCAGATGAGAAAATGTTGGCAAGATTATTAGAGGGAGGGAAAGAGAAGACAGGAGGTGAACAAATGGAATAATCTGCCATATATTGGGAGTGAATTGGTTTCAATCTCTTCATGGATTTGGATTTTAAAATTCGACAAATTTTGTCCAAGCAATCGGATTTGTAGGTCTAAATCTTCTGCAAGAGATCTTCTAGCCAAGGTTTTCCCAGAGCAAATCTACCTTATCAAACCACAATTACAGTGTCAAATTCCCTGTGAAGAAGAATCATGGTCCTCACCTGATGGAGACATAAACAAAACTTCCATGGTGTCAGTACTGATCCTTCGGGTGGGGATTCTTATGCCTTTGTTGAGCTGTGCTTGTAAGACAGTAAGTGGGTATGGAATAGTCGACTTTGAGCACGAAAGATCTTGAAATTGGAAGGGGAACTTAGTATTTACTTTTGATTCCTATGAATTTCCTCAGTATCCTGTATCTCAAAGAAACTGTCAGCTGAGAGAATCCATGGCTCTGTGACCCTAACATCCTTTCCCATATCCAGTAATATGTATCATTTTTAGAGAAACAAACTTACATGTTGATGTGAATCTGGGGAAAAGACAGAGAATAACAGGAGAGAAAGGTTGACAATAAACATGGTTTTCTTTTAGAAGCTTGCTGACCCTGGGGGCAGATTCATAGTCACCTGGGGAAGCATTTTCTCCTCCACATTTGCATGAAGAATAATGTGTTTTTAAAAACAAATCTAGAGAGGTCGGGCTGCCGCCTTCTCCTCCTGTCCTCCCGGGATCAATGAGAACTCCTACCATCTGACAGGTCACAGGTCACACTCATGTGACTCACATTCATCTCTCTGTCTCCTGCTACTTTGGCTCAGGTCAAATCTGCTAAAAAAAAATGTGTTGGACACTTATTCTGTGCCAGTATTTATCTTATTTGCTGTTAATAAAGATGAGTCAGATGTCCTTGCCCTTGAACATTTTACAGTCACAGAGAAAGAAAATAGTTTCAATATAATTTGTTAACAGTCATGACGGAGGTAAGTACATGATGTTGTATGCACACTTATGTATCTGGGGTAGACTAGATGTTTGCGAATGTGTGTATTTGTGTGTGTCCATGTCTATGTATGTTAGGGATGGAGAATGGGGAAAATATGTGAGTCAGAAAGGAAGGTGTTCCTGGGTAATATTTTTCCTAAATGAAATCTTAAAAAACCTGTGGTTATTAGTGAGATGAAGAAGTCATAGAAATCAGTAATATCCTATAACTTCCCTTTCATTAAGTTTACCACTGACCTTAGGCATCACTTAGAACTTTGTGAGAAGTGTTTAGTTTTATGCTCTCTTTCTTTTTTCGTCAAAACTGAGAAAGGATGTTTGTTTACTATTTAATTTTCCCTGAGATCTGGACACATGCACTAATTTCTCCTCTAGGAAAGGTATGAGCCGTGGCAGAGAGAGAAGCAAATCTAAAGGACAAGAGGTGAAACAGGAGAGTTTGAGAAGCAACCAGGTAGCACCTTCCACTAGATGAGTAGTAATTGAAAAACTACCCATCTTAAAATAGCTTTTGTTCTCAAAATTTATTTTTGTGTCAGTTATTTTTATAATAGAGTACATTCCCCTTTAGAAGCAATTCCATATTAGTTTGATTTAAGGAATCATTAGATCATAAAGGCTTGTTTGGCCCAGTATAGTCATTCACTAAACCATTATCTGCTGTGAATTTATTATGTTCCAGGGACCCCACTGGCAATGGGGATGAAACACAACTATAGTTCCGTCCCTCCTCTCTGAGATTCTTTGTCCTCAGGAGCTGGGTCTTTTGTCTGTATCCCCATTTCCAAGCATGTACTTTGCCAATAACATTTGCTCGACAAATAAGGTAATTGAATATTTGAAGTGTGATGAATGTTCAAGGAAAGTGATGCTAACTCTACGTAGTGGACACACCTCTGAACAGAGGGACTATGCTGAGCAAAAGCCAGTGGGATATAAAAATGCAGTGTATCCTAGTTATGTGGCAGGGAAAATGGCTATAAATGTGGCCTGTGGTCAGATAAGGGAGCCATAAATGATCATCAAGCAGAGATGTGATTGTTCATATTAATGTTTTATTTATTCTCTTATTATTTCAATGTTGAATTGATATTTTTCATTGCTTTGACTCACAGACCTGTCCAGATGCCTAAGAGTCCATCATTAGATTAATGATATGGAGTGTAATTCTAACTTTTTGAGAAAACTCCTGGGAATTCCTTTAACCCAGCATTTCTGAACTTAGAATTCAGGGGGTTCTTCAATTTAGATGTGAATGCTACTTCTTTATTTTTCCTTTACTCTAACTGAAATTTAAAATTTCCTTTTTGCTTGAATGTAGGTAACTAACCCAAACCAGCACTGGCAGGATCCATAACTTTATTACCAATAGAAACCAGAAGTATTTTTATATAACATTACAGTGGTTGAAGATATCTCAAAATATCATTTAAGCTCATCATTTTGAAATTAATATGGTTATTAGATCTGCTACAACATTTAAAAAATTAATACATGAAAGAAGCACATGTATTATGGTGTCACATTTGTTTTCTAAAATTATTTTTATAAGTGTATTTTATATAATTGATTTCCTTGGTAATCCTGTATGTTCTATTTGATGTTTGTTTATTTTTTTGTTTAATGGATTTAAAGCATTATTTGGAAGCACCTTTACCAGACAGATAAAGGGTTGATAGTCCAAACCTTGCATGTGGCCTTAAACTTTAGACTTTAAATTTCTTTCCTCTGTTTCAGGAATAGCTCCATGAAATTTGAGTATTGTTCCCAAATTCTTGGCATTCTCTCTACGGATACTGGTAGGCTTTTTAAACAAGTCTGCTAAACTCTGTGATCAACTTATTTTTATTTACTTTATTTAATTAATGATATTTTATTGAAAAGAGCTCTATGCTGTCTAATAAAGAACACAAAAATGAAAAAGACAGGCACAGTTTTCAGAGGAGTTTTTAATCTCTGGGAGGAGTGGACAGATGACGCAAGGCAGTGAGAGATGATGGGCTGGAGGGGGTGGATTAGTGCTGTTTAATGTGAACACAGAAAAGGAGCCAAGCTCATGATTTGAAATGGAAATGATGTTGTGATGGCATGTCGGCTATTTTGGAAGTTCACTGACAGTTAAGACTGATGTTTGGGAGCTCCAGCTGAAGTTGGGGATGGGATCGCCAAAGAGATTATGGCCCACTCTCCAGAGTTACCCTCTTTGTTTCTCAGCTCTTTTGAAGTAGGTTATTTTGTCTGACAAAAAGTGTCAGTTCTGCAAGGTACTTTGGCTCTTTTTGATTTCTTATACCTTCGTGACTGTTTTCTCAGGGAAGAGACAACAGGAACAGTTGTATGTCCAAAGGATTAAAAAATCTACACCATCACGAGATGGAGGAGGTGTGCCAAGAGCAGAATAAGAATCAAGGGTTTTAGTTGATAATAAAATGAAGTTAAATGGCATGACTTTAAAGACAAAGTTAATCTATTGTTTTTATTATTAGAAGCATGATATTCAGAATAAAGAAGATGGTTGTCGTGATCTACTCTTCACTTGCCAGATGATAGTTAAAATGAATGCATCATTTTATAAAGTATTAAGTTTTGCCACATTGAAAACATTCTAACTAAAGCAGCCTGATCATCTTCTAAAAACCTTATAAAGTGGATTCTTGAAATGGTTGGTAGTTATTGGGACAATTCTTAAGCTCTCCAATGATGAATTATATAATTTTATAGGTTATACACACATATATGTAGTGTGTAGTGACTCTATACTGAGAAAAGAGCAAACTATGACACAGACAAATCAGACACAAGTGACAGAATTCCTCCTTCTGGGACTCTCTGATGACCCACACACCCAGCAGCTGCTATTCATCTTATTCCTGGGTGTCTACCTGGTCGCTGTGCTTGGAAATCTGCTTCTCATGTCCCTTGTTCAGGTTGACTCCCAGCTTCACACACCCATGTATTTTTTTCTCTTCAACTTATCACTGGCTGACCTCTGCTTTTCTACCAACATCGTTCCGCAGGCCCTAGCCCACCTGCTATCCAGGAAGAAGCCCATTTCATTCACACGTTGTGCTGCTCAGCTTCTACTCTTCCTCATTTTTGGGTGTACACAGTGTGCCCTTCTGGCAGTGATGTCTTATGATCGGTATGTAGCCATCTGCAACCCTTTGCATTACCCTAGCATCATGACGTGGAGAGTGTGTGCCCGGCTGGCTGCAGGATCATGGGTCATTGGTGTTCTGGTGTCTCTAGTGGACACCACCTTCACACTGAAGCTACCCTACCAAGGCTGTAATAGTATTGCTCATTTCTTTTGTGAGGCCCCTGCATTGTTGATCTTGGCATCCACAGACACCCGCACTTCAGAGATGGTCATTTTCCTCATGGGTGTCATGATTCTCCTCATACCTGTTTCTCTAATTCTGATCTCCTATGGCCGCATCATAGAGACTGTGGTCAGGATGAAGGCAGCTGAGGGAAGGCTCAAGGCGTTCTCTACCTGTGGCGCCCACCTCATGGTTGTCATTCTTTTTTATGGGTCAGGAATTGTCATGTACATGACACCAAAGTCTTCCGAAGAACAGGAAAAACTGGTGTCTGTGTTCTATGCAATGGTGACCCCCATGCTTGACCCCCTGATCTACAGCCTGAGGAACAGAGATGTGAAGGCAGCTCTGAGGAAAGTAGCCACAAGAAATATTCCATGCAGGCTTGGAATTTTCCACTGATAATGACACCTTCTTGGCTCCCTACTCATAAGACTTACTGAGTAGTTCCCTGAGCAAGACGAATATAGTACGATTCTTATCCTTGTGCCTGGCTGTGGATCCGCCCTCCAATTCTTCATCCAGAAGTTCCTTTCTAGAATAAGGACAATATCTCATGGACCATGGTCTTTTGGCACTTGAGTTAGGAAAACGCCTGAGAAACATTCATATTTTATAAACCCTGGAACCTGTAAAATCTATCTTTTTTATCATTCTATATATTACTATCTATCTATCCCAGATCCTACTCCAACTCCTGTATCTTTTGGTATTTTTAAATCTTTTTGCATCATCAAATAATCAATAATTTAATAAACATCACTTGATCACTTACTGTGAGCTAGGTGCTACATGTATGTGTGCATGCACATCACCTGCATGTGTATTTGAGGTGGGTTATAAAGGTATGTGTATGAGGGGGCACAATATGTGAGCTCTGCTGTCCTTCTTCTCACAACCTTATTAGAGACAGAAGTATTGTATCTAGCAAGGAAGGGTAAAGACAGGGTTTTGGAAACCAACAAGAAATAGTGACTTCCCAGGGCCAGCAAGAGTGAGAGCTGTTACCAACCCTGGGCCCGAAGGATCAAGAGGAAGAGGGTAGCTGTATGTAAAGGGCCACCGGACAGGAGCTGTGGAATAAGGTACATGGAGGCAAGGAAGCCCTGGGGATAAATACTTCAAGCTTATTCTCTACCCACCTTTTGCTTTTCTATTACTATATCCCCCCCAAAATCCGAGATAACCTCCCCATCTGAAGATCCTTAATTTAATCACATCAACAAAGTCCTTTTTACCATGTAAGGTAATATATTTACAGGTTCTGGGGACTAGGATGTGGACATTGTTGAGGGGCCATTATTCTGCCTACCATACCAAGATAAGTAAAATGAATGTGAAGGAGTGATTAAAGCATGGCTAAAATTGGAGACTACACATTTATAATGGTGCCAGTCTGCTTGGTTGTGGGATTGCCATCATGCAAATAGAACCCCATGATCTTCTTTTTCATTTGCAAATTATTATGGTGATATTTCAGAATGTGCTGCTCTTCTGGAGCCCTTGTTGAATGAGAGCTGAAGGACACCCTGTGTAGGAGGTTGAACTGGTTCTGATACCGTGATGGCACACAGAGGTAGGGTTTTTTTATAGAGTTTATGGAGAGGACATGCCTATGCAGTAAACGTTATTTTACTCTTTTAATTATCAATAATTTCTTATGAATAGTTTATACAAAGCTATGGTGCCCATGTCCCAAGTCTGTTATTTGCCAAGAGCCCAGAATTGGACTATGTTCACTGAACTAAATCATAAAGAGGGGCAGCTACATTGGTTGAGTGAGATGCAAGCTTAAAAAGGACAGTTGATTTCATCCAATCACAGTAAGATTACAAAAAAAACCTAATAAACAAAAAGTCTTTGGGTTATTCATAGCAGTTTCCTATAATTTGTCCACTTAGACTTCGTCTTTCTCCAGAGAAGGCATAGACCAAATAATGTAGCAGATGAAGAAGTTCTCAGTTGCTAGCCCTCAAAACATGTGTACTTTATAAGCCAATGGAGCTTTCTAAGTATCTTTTTATTATCTCTCATTCTCTCTAAAATGTAAATTCCACGAGTCAAGAAACTTGTCTGTTTTATTCACCAATATGTCTTCAGGGCCTAAACAGAGTCTGACACATACTGAATGCTGAATAAAAATTTGTTGAAATTATGAGTTCAAACTCAAAATTTGTTGAAAAAATTAATAAAAAAAATGAAAAACACACACTGTACTATCTATTATCATTATTATCATAATGTTACTTTGTAAACAAAAATATACTTGAAAATTCCAGATAGAATTTTTGGACAAATAAAAGAAAGTAAAGCAGAAGATTATAAAATGACATGGATGAAGAAGTTCAAGAAAAGTTAAAACAAATTAAAAAATGGCAAATTGTAGTGAAGTTGTCAACCTTCAGGTAGGCTCCTAATCTATGTAAACTAGCAGCATCCTCAGAGACGCTGGTACCACAGTCCCATAGAATATTGGGCCTACTGAAGTTCTTCCTTTCATCACTCATGTTCTTTCATTCAGAATTGGATCCTAGTGGAAAGTCCAAAATCCCAGTGGGTATGCTGTGACTCCTGGAAAGAGTAAAGACCAAAAACCCATTTGAGGAATTTGTTTTTCTTTCCTTTGTCCTTGCATTCTACCCCTTCAGTTTCCATCTAAGTCAGTCATAGTTTCTGAGGGTCCAGGGTCCTTCGGATGACCCGCCTCAGTGCAGCCTTCACTTCACTATTCCTTAAGCTGTAGATGATGGGATTTAACATGGGAGTCACAACCGTGTAGGAGAGTGACAACAGCTTCTTGCTCTCAGGAGAGTTGCTGGACCGGGGTCGGAAATATGTGAGGATGGCAGTGCTATAGAAGAGGGAGACAACCAGGAGGTGAGAGGAACAGGTGGAGAAGGCCTTGCGTTTCCCCTCAGCTGAGGGCATCCTGAAGATAGTGGAGAGGATGCGGACATAGGACCCCAGGATCAGCAAGAAAGGCAAGAGGATGAATAGGACAGTGGCTGTCAGAGCCTCCAGCTCAAACAGTGAGGTATCAGCACAGACCAGAGCAATGACAGGAGGGCTGTCACAAAAGAAGTGGTTCACTCTGTTAGGGCCACAAAAAGGGAAGCTGAAAATCCATGTGGTTTGCACAGTGGCCACTGGAAACCCTGAGAACCAAGAGGCAGTTGCCAGCTGGGCACAGGCCCTGTGGCCCATGATCACTGGGTAGCGCAAAGGGTCGCAGATGGCCACATAGCGGTCATATGCCATTGTGGCCAGGAGGCAGCACTCAGCAGCCCCAAAGAAGAAGAAGAAATACATCTGAGTTGCACAGCCAAGGAAAGAGATGGTTGTGCCTTGAATGATCAGGGTCCCCAGCATCTTGGGCACAATGACCAAGTTGAAACCTATTTCCAGGAAGGACAAGTTCCTGAGGAAGAAGTACATAGGACTTTGTAGGGAAGAGTCAGCTGTAGTGACCAGAATGATGAGGACATTGCCCATTAAGGTAACCAGGTAAATAGTCAAAAAAAGGAGAAAGAGTAGAGCTTGTAGCTCAGAGGACAAGGCTGAGAAGCTCACAAGAACAAACTCACTGACAATTGTCCAGTTTCCCCACGTCATTCTTCTGCCTCGGATTTCACTGGGCATTCACACTCCAGGAAGGTATAAGAAGTCTCCATATGGTAGTTAGACCTCTATTATACCCTTAGAAAGGGAACCTCCTATGGCCTAATTCTCCACCTTCCTTGTTACAATTGTTGAAGATCAAACAACTGTACTTTCCAAAATGTAAAAAACAAGTCTGACTGTTGGATTCACAATTTTTGGAATACTAACTTTGTTTTCAGACTGAATTGAGGTATACCATATATATCTCTATATCTCCTGACTTTGCTCTGCTCTATAGAGGATGGCCAAAGTCACAGCTTCACTTTTGTGCTCCTACCCTCTCTCTTCAACAGTCAGTGGTGCTAAAAAACAAGTCAGGCCAAGCCTTTCTGAAAAGAGAGGTCTTGATGCACAATGAAAGATGGTGAGATGAGCCAGGGGATGTTTTCTGCAAAACAAAAGGTTGAGATGGAGAAAATCAACGAAAGTGAACCAAGAGTTATCAGTGATCCCTGAAGAAGAGACCTAAATGTGTCCTAATCTCGAGTAGCCCATATTCAGGAAGATTTCAGTATACTGGAGGGATCTTCATTTCTAAATTCAGACACTTGCAATTTAAACAAGACACATAATATGGAAACTGTGGTTTATTTTGATCCCAGGGCTAAATGTTCTCCATGTGGCTATTTGTGATCAGACAAAGGGAACATAGACTCCAATAGTGTCCAACCCTGGAGAGAATCTAGGCGTGTTAAGTATAAACCCTTTAATCAGCTTCTCTTGGTTAGCCGGTGTCTTGACTCCCAAGAAGTATGAAGCTTAGATTTTACATGTTAATAAAGACCAACTCAAATATGCAAGTGTGACAAATAATATTAAATTCTATGAAAAAGAAATAGAAGAATAGAAGGTTTCATCATTACATCAATAACTAAACTTCAAAATTGGGATCCTGCAATTCTTTCTGATGACTATAAACTTAAATGAAGGAATAAATCTCACACACTTGCGTGGTGACTGGCACATAAATATATGCTCAATAAACGCTAACCACTATGATTATTATGATTTGATGCTAGACCTACCTTCCAAAATCTACTTCTTATCTAACCCATTGCCCAAACTCACTGTAGTCCCTGCTTTTCAACCTCTAAGAGAAAACAATAATTTATTCAATAAATACTGATTATCTTTTGTGTGCCGGACACTCTTCCAGATACTGAAGATGGTACATTAGTAAATGAAATAAACAAAAGTCTCTGCCCTCATAGAACTCATTTTCTAGTAGGGAAGACAGATTATAAACAGATTATGTAAATAGAATGTATAGCATGTTAGATGATAAGAACAATGGAGAAGAATAAAGCACTGGAGAGGGGATAGACATTTTGGATGGGGGGAGGGTCAAAGAAGGCTTCCCTGAGAAGATGATGTTTGAGTAAAGTACTGAGCAGGCGCAAGACGTGAAGTCAGGGTGGTGAAAGAATGAGGGTGGTAAAGAGCTAAAACAGTAAGAAAACTCTATTTTAGAATTTTTGCCAGGGAGGCACTGAGAAGTTGAATAATTTTTCCAAGGTTAGACAGCCAGCAAGTGTGGCTTCAGGCTATGCATCCTGGGCAGTCTGACTTCAAGTCATGGCTCTACTCATCAGTTGACACTTTCACTCACTTTCTGAGAATAATAATCATCTGAGGTCACAGGTGAGGGCAAGCAGGAGTGTTTGGCACAGGTTGGTACTAAGAGAGCAAAAAGCAAGACAATTTCTAGAGAGGGGCATTTTATGTTTTAATGTATTAGCAACACTGGAGCCCTGGAATATCACTTTCATAGTCTTTATCTTAGAATAATCATTAATTTATGTCTCCATCTCATATTCTAGATAGTATACTCCTTGAGAGTAGAAATTGTCTTATTCAACTTTTTATCCCAGTGCCTAGAAAGGTAGAAGCCCAGTAAATTGTTATTGAACGAATGAATGAAGAATGAAGAAAAACATGGAAAATAATCAGGGAAAGATCTGTTTAGATCGAATGTAGGCACGGTGGGACCCATTCATAAGGAACTTAGACAGAAACGTCTACGTACATCAACAACACAGCCTCATCCAATTTACACAGATTTAAAGAGTGGTGAGAGTTATAAATTACACTCATTGCCTCTTCCATCCCAAGCCTCCTCCTTTTGTCTACCCTGCTTCAGCAAATGATACCACCTGCTGTATAACCCAGGATCTGGGGTAAAAATCCTTTAATTCAGCCCCTAAACTTGATTATTTTTCCTCCTAAACACTGATTCAGTGCCACATTCTCCATCCCTACCACAACATCTTTAGATTCTGGCTCTTATTTTCTCTGGCCTGGAATATTTGTAGGAACTTGATTCCAACTCATTCTCTTCAACCTATCCTTGACTTGTGTGTGATCTGACAGCAACTCTAAGGTAGTTACCTGCTTAACATCTTTCAATCACTCCCTACTGTTCCTGGGATAAGTACAAACCTGTTAAAAAGGTCTTTTTCTCTGATATATACTTATTTTTCCAGCTTCAAATCCTCTGCACAGCCAGTGTTCTGGTCACATGAGAATGCTCTCTGTTCTGTGCACACATCCTGTTCTCTCCCTCCTCCTTGCATTTGTGCATGTAGCTCTCTACTTTTGGAAACCTCTTCCTGCAGTTATGTATAACTTTCTGCTCATCTTGCAAGTCCAGCTGAAACACCATTTGCTTTGTGAAGTTTCCCTCTACTCCCTTGGCCTAATCAAGGGATTATTCACTCTCTGATAACACCTTGTGAAAACCTCTATTAAAGCACTATATAATTGTGTATGTGTGCATCTACTTATATTATCTAGTTGCTAATGCCATGAGGAAAACCTGCTCATTTATCATTGCATCTTTTGCACCTAGCAGAGTGCTTAGCTCCAAGTACTTAGAAATTAATGTAGGACTGGCCTGGTGGTGCAGCGGTTAAGTTAGCACATTCTGCTTCTCGGTGGCCCGGGGTTCGCTGGTTTGGATCCCAGGTGCGGACTGGCACCGCTTGGCACGCCATGCTGTGGTAGGCGTCCCACGTATAAAGTAGAGGAAGATGGGCAAGGATGTTAGCTCAGGGCCAGTCTTCCTCAGCAAAAAGAGGAGGATTGGCAGCAGTTAGCTCAGGGATAATCTTCCTCAAAAAAAAAAAAAAAGAAATTAATGTTGCCAAAGGTTTAATTATTTTTATAGCAGTTTGATGACACTATTGGGTCTCTAGTGGAGCCTACAGCCAAGTAAGACCTGCGTGTGTGTGTGTGTGTGTGTGTATGTGTGATTTATGGGTGTTACTTTAGGTTTTATCTTGGAATGAATATTTATTTTATTTAAATTTTTTTGCTATGTTCTAAGAAAATATTTTTAAAACTTTATTACAACAGCTTTGCTTCACTCAGTGTGCATGGATGTCCACTCTCCTAATATTTAATCAAAATGTTTCCCAGGACCAAGCCACAACTCTGTGGCATATCACTTAAGCCATATCCCAAAATGGGTTGACACCAATTTTTTAATCTCTACTTTTTGGGCAAATAGCAAAACTACCTATTTTTTCCTATCAACAACTTTAAATCATTTCAGACATGGGTAGGGTATAAATAAATACAGTTATATGTGCTTTCACCTGGAATATATCTTTTTAATGTAGTTATAAAGATCTCATGAAAGAGTTTATCAAATACCTTAGTGAAATGCAGATAAACCATATCAAACACATTCTTTAATCCAAGATCTAATGTCAACTTCCTTGAAAAGCCTTTTCTGACCATCTTCATCCCCCAAATGGGTATAATGAATTGCTCTCTCCCTTGTGCTCCTCATAGCATTTAAAAATACCCTTATTGTAACAATGGTTTTATATCATAATTATTTTTATGTGTCCTCTCCTGCAAATTGTGCACTCCTTGAAGACACAAAACAAATGGTATACATCATTGTATCTACATTGCATTGCCTGGTACCTACAAAGTAACAATAAATATTTATTGAATATTGAAAATTTATCTTAATAACATTAATTAATTGGCTTAACAACTAATATTTATCTTAAAAAGTTAATGAAGTTCTTAGTTGTGAAATTCTTAGTGAATCCACGATGGATTAAAGTGTTTGTAAAAAAATCTTTTTAACAATGTTTTAAATTATAGTCTGGTAAGAGATATGGGAATAAACGTAGAATTATAAAACTACACAAACTTGACTTCTTATTGTGATTACTATTATTATCGTTATCATTATAGTTTCCATAGTTTCCAAAAGACTCTAAATCAAACCTTTTGGTAAAGCAGCGTCGGATAGATAGAAAACAATCCAGTGAAGTGTAGCCGAGACCCATGACAGTTGAAACCAGAGGAAAACCGTGGAACAACATAGTTTGAGAATTTCCTAATGACATACAATTAGATGACACTTCTTAGACACCAGCCAACACATGGCAAAAGGCTAGGAGAGAAAAGGTTCTCAGGCTCAAAATTCAGAAGCTATCAAAGAGAATCTCTGAATATTCACTTAATGAAGCTGAAGGGAACCTGCATATGCCTAACAATAGGTTTTTTACTTTAAAAGCAGAGTTGCCCCTCCCTTTTTTCTCAAACCAAATCTTACAGGGAATCTCAACACTTAAATCCAGAAGATGAACGATGGCAGCAGCAGGGGCTCAGAGTCCCACTTGCTTGGCTTTTACTTTTCTCTTGTCCTCTGAAATGGTCCCCTCATGCATCTTCTTAGGACTCGATGGCTGCAAGAAACATACTATGAAAGCATGATTCATGACTCAGCATCTGTCTCCTTCCCGTAGTTGTAATTCCATATATCCCTTCATTTGTCTTGATCCTTCTCCAACCTCTCCCTTTATATTTCCTTCTTTTGGTCTAGGCTTTCCTTTCTTTCTTTCATATCTTTTATCTTTCTTTTCTGTTTTGAATTTTCCATCTGTTTTCCCCTACAAGTAAGGAAAGAGTTGTAGAGGGGAAGTGCCTGGAGATGAAAAAAGATGTAAAAGTGGAGATGAAGAAAAAACTGTCACTGCCCTATATAATGATGTGTGGTTCTATCCATTGTGAAAAATAAAGATGCCTTGAAAATGATGAATTAAATAAGAAAATATTTATTTCATATGTAGGTGTTTGACTCTTTACAAGAGACTTCGAGTCTGTGCCCTGTGCTCTCACCCTTTACTTACCTCCCATGAGTGAGTGTCTGTGTCACATTCCAGAGAAGCTGGGTTTGTCCCTGTAAAGAGGCTCTGAGTTGTGCAGCATTAGTCACTCCAAAGAAGCTCTGGGCTGGCTGTGTCAATCACTCTAGAGGATACCAGGCTGGGTCTCAGGACTATTTCAGTCTCTGCTGTTTACCATAGGGAAGTGATTCCCCCAATGCTTCCTTTTCCTTAGGTGAAGTCGTAGGTTCACTTTCTGACAGGTGTGAGTTTTGAGGAGTTCCCAGGAGTGCAAAAATTCATGGAGATGCTGCCATCCCATTACTGGAGGAAGGTCTTTACTGAAGCTTCAACTTTTCCCGCACTTGTGAGACCACAAGAACAAAAGGACAGAAGTCCACGGTCTGTCTATTCTCCAAGGTTTCCAACTGAGAGAGATTAGGGGAGCATGCTGGTATTCTTTTTTCGTAATTTTATGTTTCCAGCTTTATTGAGGTATAATTGACATACAACATTGTGTAAGTTTAAGGTGTACAATGTATATGATTTGGTACATGCATATATTTTGAAATGATTAGCACAATAGTGTTAGTTAACACGCCCATCACCTCACAATTACCTTTTTGTGTGTGTGTGGTGAAAACGTTTAGGAACTACTCTCTTAGCAACTTTCAAGTATATAATACAGTGTTGTTAACAATAGTCACCATGCTGTGCATTAGATTCCCAGAACTTACTCATCTTATAACTGAGTTTGTACTCTTTGACAAACTTCTCTTCATCCCAGCTCACCCCACCCCCAGCCCCTGGCAACCACCATTCTACTCTCTGTTTCTGTAAGTTCGACTTTTTCAGATTCCACATGTAAGTGAGACCATACAGTATTTGTCTTGTTCAGTCTGACTTATTTCACTTACATAATACCCTCAAAGTCCATCAATGTTGTTGCAAATGGTAGGATTTCCTTCTTTTTTAGGGTGATTAGTATCCCATTTTATATATATATTCGCACCATGTTTTCTTTATCCATTCATCTGTTGATGGACACTTAGCTTGTTTCTATGTCTTGGCTACGGTGAAAAATTCTGCCATGAACATGGGGTGCAGAGATCTTCTTGAGACAGTGATTTCTTTCCCTTCTTGCCAGTATTCTTTTACATCTCTCCTCACTTTTGATTCTCATCAGGCTGGTTCTTAGAAGTGTTTCTGACCTGGACTCAGGAGAAGTTTTCAGGCATGGGGAGGAGAGCCTATTAATATTGTCTAAGCCTAGTAGAGAATATTAATGAAAACTAAGCAAATGGTTAGGGATGCTGTTGGCTGCAGTGGCTATTAACTCCTGGTTAAGATGAGAAGAGAGAAGACTGACTAACAATCTCAAAATCCTAACTCGTCTGGAACAGGAATTGAAATTGAAGGGATAAGATGAAGTCCGTGCTTTGGGATAAAAGTTTCTCCCAGCTGATTAAGGCTTCATCCAAAGACTCTAAAGCATATCTAAACATTTCTTACTGTGCTTCTGAAAATGATGTTTGATTGCCTGTTCTAACTGAAAGCAGTGACCATATCTGACTTGTTCATTATTGTTTGCTTAGCATCTAGCACAGTGCCTGCACGTATATGCCTGACTTTTTCCACAAGGCATCTTTAAAATACTGAGCTTCCACCACATCCTCCACCTATGTAACTTGAGATTTTCCATTTTTATTGACTAGGATGACACGTTCATATTGGACTTTGCTCTAGAGAAATGCTTCACATTTCCCACAGAAGTGATAATAGAGAGGTGACTCAGTGGATAAAAAAGAATAGCTATTTATTGTTCCCCTTGATAACCCATTTCTTTGTCTAGTATATAATCTAAATCTCTGTTAGCTCCTATGTTTACTTAGAATTACAGCCCAAGATTATGTGACAGAAGAAATACTTACGTGACTTCTCTTTGCTATTCTTCTCATTCTCTCCTTCTTCCCAAGTCCTGCTTACTAGCATTTGGAGGAGAAGCTCTTGTATTACTCCAATGACCAATGAACAAATGCGTAAGATCTACTTTGAATGTTTATTCATTCATTCAACAAATATGCCTAACATGAACCAGATGCTGAGGTTACACTAGTAAATTTAATTGACAGTGTCCCTGGTCTCATGTAACATACAGTTTAGAGGTGAAGACAAACATCAAAGAACCATATAAAAATTTGAATTTACAACTGTGATGAATATGTAACTAGAAGAAAATGATGTAGCTGCAAAAATAGCACCACCATTTCCCACTTTCTTGGACATAACTATGAGTATGAGAAACTTTGATTATAATTTAGTATGGTTATTATGAGCAGCAACCCCAAAGCTTCAGCTATGTCTTTGGATGGCTAAGAGAAAAGCCTTTAAGAGGTAAATTAATCATCATAGCCTACATTCTCAGTCCCAGCAATCTCAAAGGGGCCCCTTTTGTAAAAAGTGAAATGAAGAAAAAGACTATCACCACCCTATATAATGATGTGTGGTTCTGAGTCCATTGTGAAAAATAAAGATAGCTTGAAAATGGTGAATTAAATAAGAAAATACTTATTTCATACTTATGTGTTTGATTCTATTGTTTCTGATGATTAATGAATATCCTTGGGGATGTGTTTGAATTTGTGTGTTTGATTCAAATTACTCATCTGGAGAAAAATACATGTATTAGAACTCACACTGATGGGTAGATGTTGTAGTTGGAGAGGTCACCATACATTGAACTGAGTTCTAGATTTAGGGTTTCAGTGGTCATTTTTTTCAGTGGCCACTTTTAAATGTTCTGGTCAAAGCTTTTGGGGTCTTTTCTTGACTCACTCAGAGGATGAAAAGTACTTATAAAGGGCAGGCTGTAGTGGATACTGTTGGAGTTCCTCCTCAAACCTCCTGAGTCGCTTTGACCAGCTCTGTGTATCATTCTTCAGCTTGTACAAGCTTTACTTCTAACAGCTTGTATCTGAGACCTTCAGAAGAATGCCCTGGGCACTGGGGACCCTCTTCAGGGGACAGAGGTGACTGGAAGTTTTAATTCTACTCCACAGTCCACCAGTAGCCAGTGGATGTTTGGAGTGGGAGTACAAAAGCCTACTTCCTATGACCCGAAGCAGAACAAACTCTGAGGTTTATTTATGCTTTGGAGTTCCCTACTGGACCAGGCTGAGTCTGGGATTTCACCAGAAATTATATTTTTTCTTAGCTTCTTCTCCGTTTCTACTCAACTTTCCTCACCTATCTAGTGGTTTTTCCTTAATGACTCACTTGCACTTGAATCCTTGGTTTCATATTTGACTCTGGGAGAACCTGGCCTATGATGAAAACCTTTGGCCCCAAGGCAAGATCAGTTGCTGCAGGTTTGGCATAGATGTTCCTAAAAGGTGAAAGGAGATTTATAATAGGGATATGAAGGAAAAAGCTTTAGGCTTGACCTCTCTGAAAAAAAAAAAAAGAAAACCTTTTATACCTCCTCTATGGATCTCCTCTAGACTTTCCGACTCCTATGCTCTCCCACAGGAATTGGTCTTACTCTAGAATCAACCCCCCTCTCTTGAGTAGTGTATTTCACCACATGCGAACCACCATCAAGTCGCATCAATTCGTCCACTAAAAATTATTTAGAATTAATTTCTACTGATACCACTTTACTCCCTATCGCCATCATTTCTCCGCTGGATTACCCATATATTTATTCATCTCTCATATACTATTGAAAAACTGGAACATGATTTCATTGTAATGTGAAAGTTTTTATTGGGCAAAGCAAACCAGAATAGATGGTTTGTGATAAGCTTCAACACTGAAGTAAATGTCCTAAGGCCTTGGCATTAGGTGGCCTCTTGGCTCTTTTTAAGAAAATTCTAAAAGTGTGCCTGTATCTGAGGCTTCATTCCCAGAGGCAAGGCCCCCTGGATTTGTGCAGCTTTTGGCTTCTGGAAAGTGGTACTGACTTTCATGACCATTTAAGGGCTGTCCCACTGATTCAGGGCATCACTTCCATCTGAATTGTCTCAGCACCAGACACCCTAGTTCTAAGTAAAGGCTTGTTGGCATTTTCATTCTACTGCTTTGTGCATGTTAAACATCTTCTGTGGCAGCCTCCAGCCTCACTGAGCTGCATGCCTGGGCAGTCTATGTTGTCTCTCTGGGTCCCAGCCGTTGTTTCTGTTAACGCTCTAGCTTCAAAGTCGCATACATTTTGAGCGATCTTCCCTAACCCTATTGCCCCATAGGAATTTTAGTGCAGAGTTTTGTGAAACATAAGGTTTTCAGGAATGTCTGTGTCATAATAAAGCAGAAACTCTTGTGCAGCTCTCATTTTCAAAGAGTTACAGGTACATTGAGGGAAGACAAACGTAAAAATAAGTATAGCTTAGTATATAAAAAAAGGTCACTTATCTATTGATAAACTTGGAATAGCTACATATAGGAGAGAGTAATGTATGCTGCTTGAGGGATTTCAGTGGGACCTTGAAAGATGGATGGATGGATTCAGGTGAAAAGAACCTTTCAAGTAGAGAAAATAGAATCCCACGACATCCCCAACTGCTAATCATCTGAATTATGAGTTCAGAAGTCTGAATGAAATGCATGCCTTTTCTCTGATTTACTCATCTATTTCTTCTATATTCTAGAAAATTTATTTCATTCAAATTAAAATTTAATTGAGTTATTTTTTTTAGCTAGTATATAAGCAAAATTTCAAATGTTTGATGACAAATGCCATTGATGTGGCTTTGGGGAAACAAGCACCCTTACAAATTGCTGGTGGGAGTATAAAAAAGTAAAATAGATTTGGAGGGAAATTTGCAATATATAGCAACATTACACTTGTATTTTCCCTTTGTCCAACAAATCCAATATCTAGATTTCTATCTGTAAGATACACTGGAAAAATATTTAAAAAGATATATGCATAAAGCTACTCTTTACAGTATGATTTATAATTTGTAAAAGACAAATAAACTATGGTATGTTTACAAAATAGAGTACTATGAAGTTATAAAAAGAATGAGCAGTCTTTTGTGGTTAAAGAAGAGTTCCATTGGAGTTAGCTGTATCCATTTTAAGCTTGGATGAAAGCAGCATCATGATTGAAATTTATGATATTACTTCAATGAGGTATAAGAACCTGAATATGGGATAGAGAGAGAGCCAATGGAAGCTCAGGTCATTCTTCCTGGGAAAAATAGAATGAAGAATAAAGTGACTGTTGGAGTTACAAAAATGTAGTATGGGGATTATTGATTCACTTTTCTATATCCATACTACATAAAAGTAAGCTTAAAAGAACTAACACTGCCTCAAGGGCATGAGAACTGAAATAAGACAGTGAGGAGAGAGATGCGTTGGGAGGATCACAGGGTTTTCTATCTGATGAATGGAGTAAGATTTGCCCAAAGGAAGAGAAAGTTACAAGACGATTTTTGATGGGTTTTGCCTTCTTTTAATTATGTGTGTCCCCAAGTTAGGATTACAAGCAATTTCATTCTGTTCACAATGTGGACACAGGAATGTGAATATCTGGAATTACTTGTCTATAGAAGTCTTGAAATACAAATAAGAAAAAGAATGTAAGTCTGCAGTGGACAGGCAGAGGAGTTTGCCAGGTGGTAGCAATAGGTCTAAACTATGTCTGTGCTGTTTTCTCTCCATTGAGCTTTCCTATAGCCATTTCAGCAGCTGGATTTTATCCCAATGGAGATGAGGAGAGAGGCAGAGGAATCCCAAATATGAAACTGATTGTTCCTCATTCAGTAAACTTTAGTCTTATTTCTCAGTGTCTACGGGATGCAGTTTCTGAGGCCTAAAGCCTTGCGGAAGGTTCGGCTGAGGGCATTCTTCACCTCATTATTTCTCAGGCTGTAGATGATGGGGTTCAACATGGGAGTCACAACAGTGTAAGATAACGACAGTAGCTTCTTACTCTCGGGAGAATTATTGGACTTAGGCCTGAAGTAGGTGAGACTTAAAGATACATAGAAAAGGGAGACAACAAGAAGGTGGGAGGAGCAGGTAGAGAAGGCTTTATGTTTCCCTTTAGCTGAAGGAATCTTGAGGATGGCAGCACTGATGCAAGTGTAGGAACATAGGATCAGCAAGCAGGGTATCATCACAACCAGAATGGTTCCAACGATCGCATAGATCTCAAACAGTGCTGTGTCTGCACAGACCAACTTCAGCACAGGTGGGCTGTCACAGAAGAAGTGGTTCACCTTGTTCGTGCCACAGAATGGAAAGCTGAAGAGCCACGTGGTCTGCACTGTAGCTACAGGAAAGCCTGGAAACCAGGAGGCAACAGCCAGTTTGGCACGTGTCCTTTGGTTCATGATGACAGGGTAGTGCAAGGGATTGCAGATGGCTACATAGCGGTCGTACGCCATGGTGGCCAGGAGGAAGCATTCAGCAACTCCGAAGAAGAAGAAGAAATACATCTGAGTGGCACAGCCAAGGAAGGAGATGGTTGTGTCCCAGGCAAGCAGGGTTCCCAGCATCTTGGGCACAATGACTAGGTTGAAGCCAATCTCCAGGAAGGACAAATTCCTGAGGAAGAAGTACATGGGACTGTGCAGCATGGGGTCAGCCAAAGTAACCAGAATGATGAGGTTGTTTCCCATCAGGGTGACCAGGTAAATGATTAAGAATGTCAGGAAGAGTAAGGACTGTATTTTAGCAGGTAGGGAAGAGAAGCTCATGAGGATAAACTCATTAACTCTTGTCCAGTTTCCTTCAGCCATAGATATAGAAATGAATCTCTAGCAGTGGTCATGCAGAGAGATTTTTTATTTGAAGGGTCAGATTCTAGATTTGTTATTCAGATTCCTTCTTAGTGTCAGGAAAAGAGGCAGAGCAGGATCTCAGCTGGAAGAGGAAGGACATTGTGTTGTCTAAGAATAAAGACATAAATAAGAATGGCCAGAGATGAAGTTCTGAGATGGCCCTGGGTCAGCTTCTAGAGGAGCTGATATTTTCCTATTTGCACATTAACATATACAGAAAGGTCACACCAAATCAGAACCATTTTGAAAAAAAGTGATATTCTTGTAAACACCTAAAGTTTTGAGAAAAGGCTCAATGTTCATGATTTCATTAAAGAACACATACATGTGAATTTATCAAAACTTTAGAAATAGATTCACAGTTATAATGAAGAATAATGCATCTAATAATTTTTATACTCCTCCTGAATCTTTCTTTCCTGGCTAGAATTCGAGAGATGAATGGGGGGCCAGCATATATTGAGGACAGTTAACATATGCATGGGTTTTGTCCTCATGTAGGTGCATTGCGTACATGAGGAAACTGATCCCAGAGAAGTAAAGGAAAAGCAATCAAAGTTGCAGATCTGGAATCCAAACTACATTTGTTAGATTCCAGAGTCCTCCGATTTCTACTGAATCTTGCTTCCTTGAACTGTTCTGCCTTGATCTAAAGATTAACTCATCAATGCTTAAGAAAATTAGAATTGGAATTTCTGCAAAATCACAGTGAAGACAGAGGAAAAGAGAATGAAGAAAATCAACATCACTAACTTCAAGATGTCCAGACTCAACTGGATCCCCATTTTGTATTATTTGTTTCTAATTCACAACTTATTATCAAGAGGCTCTTCTTTCCTAGCTATCTTGGTAATCTAGAATATTGAATTCTAATGGAGAAATTATGAGATGAAATTGGAAAATGATATTGGCCAAGAGGCTAAAATAAATGAAAAAGGAATTGGATTTGGACTGAAACTGTTGTAAGAAAAAACAAGTTTAATAACAGAACTAAAAATATTACTAGGAACAGTAAAAACACAAACTGACACAAAGTAAAAGAGAAACAAGGATGTAGTCAATGCTTTGGATATGTTACATCAGTAGAATTTGATTCTATGTTAAGGAACTTAGACCTTATCCTTTAGATAAAAAAAGCCACCTGAATATTTGAAGCAGGGAAGTGACATCGCCATTTATGCCGTGTAGAAAGATCACTCTGACACTGTTGTGAGAATGGATGGTATAGGGTAGATTTAGGGAGAGATCAAAAGCTGTACACATGGATTCAAGAAGACCAGGTGGTGTGCTCACCCTTCAGTAATATCTGTTTTCACTTACAATCCATTTTCAAGCACTAAAGAGGCTAAATAATGAAGAGAGGCTAAATATTAGTCAGGTCATGGTGAAGAATTAGAATTTCAAGGTTATATTTAAAACTCTAAAACATCTATGCAGATGATGTCATCTAAAAATCATTCTTACCAGAGAATAGTGATCAGACTGATCTAAGATTTCTCTGAAGCACTAAAAATTAAATGAAGAAATTACAGTTTTGAGCTCAACTTCAGAAAAACCAGTACAACTTAAAAAAAATAAATAAAATGACCAATGATACAGCAAACAGGGAATCTCAATTAGAAACTCTCCCACTGTCATTACAAGACAAGCCAGCCTTGTGTTTTTCAGAATAAGTAAATAGAGAAAGTCATGGGAGATAGGAAGTCACAACAGTTTAGATTCAGATGAATCCAAGACATCAGAGCAGTTTTGAAAAATGAGATTGGGGGCTGGTCTGGTGGTGCAGCGGTTAAGTTTGCACGTTCTGCTTCTCAGCGGCCTGGGGTTCGCCGGTTCAGATCCCGGGTGTGGACATGGCACTGCTTGGCAAGCCATGCTGTGGTAGGCGTCCCACACATAAAGTAGAGGAAGATGGCACAGATGTTAGCTCAGGGCCAGTCTTCCTCAGCAAAAAGAGGAGGATTGGCAGCAGATGTTAGCTCAGGGCTAATGTTCCTCAAAATTAAATTAAATTTGAAAAAAGGAGATTGGAAGAAACTGGAGAGACATTGAATTGTTTTTAACACATACTCTCAACGAATCCCTTTAAGATATTGAACATTGAAAAAATTGTCATGAAAATGACAGTCTTCGGTCAGAAAAGACCACCTGGGGGGAACAATGATTATCAAATTAAAAGGGTGTGGAGCCCAGTGCTAGAAACTTAAGAAAACTGAAAAAGAAATTTAAGAAACTTACGAAAGCTGAATTAGTGAATTGGTTATAGTTTGAGAAATTGTACACAAATTCCTGAGAAGAATTATGAAAAGACAAAAATAATGAGAAGAAAAATGAAATAAAGCACAGGAAACAAAATCAATTAAATAGGCATTCCAGACAGACATAACAAAGCGAAAGAAGAGAAACAATATTCAAAGAAGTACCAGAGGTGGATAAACATCTCTGAGCTAACGGAACACATGAGTTTTTGAACTGAAAGAATTCCTAAATACAAAAAAATAAATTTTAAAAAATTCACAAAAACACGTCTTTATATTAATGAATTTTTTTTTTAAATTTTGAGGATGGGGGAAATTCTGTTTAGTAACCAATCTAGAAAATGATAAAAACAAAACAAATTAAGAACAAGTCTTATATACCACAACTGAACAAAAACTGTAGCCCAAATACAAAGGAAAAAAATAAATCAGGGAACTTCTGTTTCTAGAAGATGCAGTAGACATGCTCTTCCTTTCTCTTCCCATTAAGTGTCACTAAAAACCCTAGATGTTATCTATGAAAGAAACATAAGAAGTTTCTGAAAGGTGGAGAGAAGAAAGTAGACCAGCTAGGTACCTCAGACCCCAAGGAAGGTCATGGTGGTGAGTTTACTGGGTTTTCTTTTTGCCTCACATATCACAGACTTGGAGCTGAAGATGTGAGCAACATTGAAATGCCAACAGGCACTGACCAAAAAAATCTTGAACAAAAGTCTGCTCTCGTTAGCCAAAGGATCAAGAAAGAGTCAGTCTAGCAAGACTTAGACAATAACCCATCTACTCCAGCTGAACACTAAAGGAAAAACCGTGGCTCCACCTCCATTCACAGCACAACATTTGAGTGGGAAACAAACACTTCTCCCCTCAGCAGCTGTAACGTGTTCCCCTACCCATCTGCTGGGGTGGTATTAGAGAAGGTCTAGTGGGGAGCCAGGACTGTCATCCCTGCTGAGCAATAACAAAGCCCCATCCTGATGACAGTGGAGACAATGGGGGCAGCCTGGATTTCCACTCCCAGCTGGCAGTCATGAGGTGGCGCTCCCACCCCCTTTGTCTGCAGGAGCAATGTTAAAGGAAGCCAGCTAAAACAGAAGGTTTAAGTAAGATTCAGCCTCATAATATAATAGCAAAATGTCTTGGTAAAATGATAAGCAAAAATATGGGTTTATGTAATAGACTTTTCTTCTCCTCTTGAGTTTTCTAAATTATGATTGATGTTTGAAGTAAATTTATAACACTATCTGATATGGTTCTAGATGTATATAGAAGAAATATGTAAGAGAATTATAAAGAGGGGAGATCAAGGGAATGTAAAAGAAGATAAGGTTTCTATACTTCACTCAAAGTGGTAAAATTACCACACAGTAGACCGCGATAAGTTAGGTATCTATAATGTAATATCTACAGTAATTACTAGAAAACCCGTACAAAGAGATATATTCAAAAACACTATAGATATAAAATTAAAGGACAGAGATTAGCAAAGTGGGCTAAAAACATGACTCAACTGTATGCTGTTCCTAAGAAACTCACATCAAATATAACTATATAGGTAGTCTGAAAGTAAAAAAATGAAAAAAGACATCATGCAAATATTAACTTAAAAAATGCTTATTCAATTATTTATAATTATGACAATAACATATGTCTGTTTTTCAGAATTAGAAAATATAACACATATAACAGTCCTCATAGATCAATCTTACTTGTGAGCATAGATGTAAAAAGTCCAAATACAATTTAATTCTAACACAGGGAATCCAAAACTATATCTCAATAATACATTATGCCAAAGCAGAACTTATTTCAAGAATGCAAAAATGGTTCACAGGTAAGTTAATATGGCTCATCCTACCAAAAATTCAATTAAGAAAATGTTAATCTCAGTAGACACTGAAAATATATTTTATGCAATTCAATATTTATTTCTGATTTTTTAAAGTATCAAAGTTTTAGTCAACCAGGAATAGAAGACTACTTTCTAAATGCAACCTGAACATCTATGTAAGAATAACAGCCGACCCTATACTTAGAAGTAAAACATTAGAGCAGAGGTTCTGAAATTTGGAGTCTTATGCAATCTTTTGAGAATCTGACAAAAATTATGGAATCTCTCTCCTTCAAAAAAAAATATAATATTGCATGTATTTTGAAGGGAGTCTCAGATCTCCTGAAGCCCGTCTAGAGCCTCCTAGTTTAGCTGCACAATAAGTTATGCAGATTTTGGCCAATTCAATAAGACTAGGAAAATAAATATAAGGCATAAATATTGGAAAGAAAAAGATAACATTATTCATTCAAGAAAATAAAAAGCTATTACTACTAAGAAGTTCAATGAGTTGGCTAGTTATAGGATAGATATATCAGAGTAGTTTTCCAATATTTATCTACAAAAAAGCTAGTTAGGAGGAAAGTTTCACTGTTTCTGTAAAATATAAAATACTTTAGAATAAGCATGTTAAAAATAGGCACATTCTTATGGAATATAGTATACTTATATAAGTTTAGAAAACTATCTTGGACAAACTCAGTGCCCTATAATCTGTATGAAGAAAAAGGTAGTATGGCAAAGATGTCAATTACCAACAAACTAATAAGTAAATTTAATGTAATTCCAAAAACATTAAGAAAACTACAATGAGCCAGCCCAGGTGGCCTAGTGGTTAAGGTTTGGTGTGCTCCGTTTTGGCAGCTGGTGTTTGGTTCCTGGGCACAGAACCACACCACTCACCTGTCAGTAGCCATGCTGTGGTGGTTGCTTACACAGAAGAACTAGAAGGACCTACAACTAGAATATGCAACTATGTACTGGGGTACTGGGGCTTTGGGGAGGAAACAAAAAGGAGTGGGGAGACTGGCAACAGATGTTAGCTCAGGATGAATCTTTCCCAGCGAAAATAAAATGTACAGCAGGAAGTATATATGCCATCAGATATTAAAACATGTTATAATCTTACCTCATAGCATTTTATTATATTCTCTCATAAAATTAAAATATCTTACTAGGTCTATTTGTGTATGCTTTGAAGAACTGCACTTTAGGCAAATAATTGAAACAGAATGAATACCAGGAGCAGTGCATTTATAAGAGTTCAACAAATGGCTCTGCGCCAGCTTGAGGGGAAAATAAATGTTACATTCTTACCTTATACAATACAACAAAACATATTTATTATGGATAATGATTTAAACATAAATATGAAGCTCTAGTTGAATTTGAAGAAAATACAGGTTGACATTTAGCTCTGAAGATCTTTCTCAACGTATATTCTAAAGCAGAATCCAAAAAAGAAAAGATTCACTGATTTGAACATATAAAAATTAAGTTTGAATGTTAAAAGCCTAACATAGAAATTAAAAGGTAAACTCCAATGGAGATGATATTTACAAGATAAATGTCAAGAGATTGTTACAGATTACCCAACAGAAAATTAGGTAAATCTATAATCACTCAAGTCACATAATCAGAAATCAAATGCCAAAAAATATGAAAAATTTCAAATTCATCAGAAATCAAATATAATCTTTTAGAAGGAGATTGTTTTTTCTTTAAAAATTTTAAATATGATAATATTTATTTTGGGTAAAAGTAAAAGAACATAAAAATTCAAACACTGTAAGACCATATGATAAGTAGATTTCAAAGCATGTATTAGAGACACTTTAGCAATTTCATATCTATAATTTTAGATTAAGATTATGTGCAAATTTTATCTACCAGAATGCTCCTCTCAGCTTCATTTATAATAGTGTAATTGAAACAAATAAACAATAAAAGAAATCTAATTATATAAAAATAGCAAATTGGTAAAATAAATTCTGTTATATCTATACTATGGAATGCTATGAAGTAATTTAAAAGGATATTATAAGAATATCAAATGACATAAGAAAACAATGAATTTTGCTTATTTGATAAAGTAGGAGAAAATAGTATGTTTAATGTAAGATATTTGTTTTAAAATGAAAATTTATATATATGTATTATATATTTACATGTAGAAAGCCTTCAGTTCTATTCCTTTGTTAATATCTTCATGGTACAATTCCAAGTGTTTTAAATTTCTTCTTTGCATTTTATAGTTTTTACATTAGCCATGGTGAAAATGTATTGCTTTTTATTTGAAGACTAAATACTTGGATATTATTAAGAATAAAATACTTATAACACAAACAACTCATAAACAGAATAAAAAGGTAAATGACAAATTGGGGAAAATATTTGCAATAATGGTGGCAAATAATAAAAGGTGCTGGTCTACCTAATATATAATGAGCCACATAAATCGCTTTTAAAAAGATACAATCCTGCTCCAAAATTGTTAGAAGACACAAAGATTTATTTCATCAAAAGGTGCCAATGGCCAGTAAACATATGAAAATTACTCTATTTTGCTACGAATAAAATTAAAAATTGTCATCACAGAAATTCAGTTTTTTCATTAAATTTGAAAGACAGAAAAATGTAATATTCAGAACTAGTAAGGGCTGGTGTAATAAGCAATATCTTATTTTGTTTAAGGCTGTGTACATTAGTAAATTTCTCAGAAAAC